TTTGGGAGAAATTGAAGAAAATAGGAGATATAAACGAGAAGAAGATATTGTATAAAAGGGAATAACGTCAGTTTTTTATTTTTTTACTTATACAAATCGGTGGGCCCATTAATAGCAAACTGACCGAGACCTTTGCTCCTCAAAGAAAATAAATGAAATGATAGCTACTTTATTTATTTTACATTAATAATTTACCATTATGTACAACTATCCCTATAATTAAAAGGAGAGGAAGATACCATCTTAATAAGCGAAGTAGCAAAATATCACATAATTGTAGGACTAAAGAAATTAACTTTTAACTATAACTTAGTTTTTTTGTCAATTAAAAATAAACTATAAAAAATAAAAGAACTGCATAAATATTTGAATAAAAGTTACTTTCCTCAATCTGCAGCATAATTAAAATGTGGTGACTGACCAAGAGATTTGGAGTTTGCAAATAACATTTTATATTTAAAAACTATGACAATAATGTGTTGTTTACTTGTATATTTGAATAAATATAATTTTATAATAAATTAACTAATATGTTTTAATTAAAAAGAAAAACCTTTCTCTAAATGAAAAATTCTTTAGGTAGAAAACTGTCAAACTAGTCCGATGTTTAGGCACATAATTGTAGATAAGATGATACAATTAATATACAAAATTAGAATTTCACGAAATACAAATTTGACTATTTGAGTATATCTAGTAACATATCTAAATAATTTATATTCAACACAACATTATAAATCGTAACAACCCTTTCTGGTCATTATTAATAGGCCAATGGTGAAAGAATTATGTCAGAATTTTTTTGGGTAGTGACTTAAAAACTCTAGGTTTGGTCAGTCTCCTACGAAATTTGGAAGAGGTGAGGTCTAGGGAAATTCGAGAATGAGTTGGGTTATATGTCTACTCTTGAATTATAATTTCTGGTAGACAAGACATTAAGAAACCCATAAAGCCTTTCAAAATTGAATTCAGATGAGTAAAACTCTCGAAATCGAACTTGGCGTAATGGGTTAGTATAGAATGTCAAGGGTTGAAGGAATGTTGCAAAATAGGGGATTTTCGGTAGGTTTTCAAGTCTCTAATTTTGTGCAAGATGCTATGGCGGCAAGTACGCCACTATAACGGGACGTCTGAGCATCTTCTATAGCGGTTATGCAAGCGCTATAGAGTGGAAAGTCGTTATGTAGGGTCGGGCCTCTATAGCAGGGTAAATCATGATTTAATACAAAACTGTTCCAAAACCTCATATTTTTTGCAACTTTATTCTTTGGAGAAGGGAAGGCAATTTAGGGAAATTTCCACCCATTTTCTACCTTATTCTTCGATAAAGATAAGTTCGTTACTCCCCTATTTTTTTAATTGATTCTTAAGACTTAGGATCTAGGGTATTACTCTTGGGGAGGTTTTGACTTGAATTAATGGTGGTAAAAGACATGGTTTAAGATAATGAATTGGTCTGGAGTTGTGAGTTGTATATAATTTGGGTATTGTTAGGCCATTGTTAATTGATTGTCGTGTCTATTATTTGTTTAGAACAAGAGCAAGCCAAGGCATTGATAAAAGGGAAAGTTTGGGTTCTTTAGATCTTCAAAAGGCTTGATTCGAGGTAGTTGATGGTTGTGTATTTCCCAAGTATGTAATGTATGCATGTCTATTGCTTATTAGTATTGCTTGTGCAATGAATGTGAAGAGGTTGAAAGGCGAATGTGAAATGACTGATGTGAATAACTTCATGCAATTAACTTGTTAATTACTTGTGGTTTCAAGTGTAGTTGTTCATTTTGATTGTGTCTGTGTAAGTTGTTTGTGATTAATGGTTGGCTCGGGTACCACGCATGTATGAGATACTAATGGTTGGATCATATATCATGCCTAGTATGAATCATTATGGTTGGTTCGGGTAACACATGTGTACTAATTTGTGTGTGGGTTGCATGAGAGAACTGAGTTCAAATGATTGGTTCTATGATTGGATCAAGTTTACTTGTTCATAATGTGATTATTGGATGTTGGTCTCTAAGAGGATTAGGTATGTGTATTATGTGATCATGTGGGACATGTTTCATGCATGGGTTGAGTCAGGATATTGTGATATAGAATTTGTATCATGATGTGGCTTGTATCACTATTATGTAGTTATTTGTTTACATTCATGTTTTGAAATTATACATATGATCCTACCAATACATGGTAGTTTTATACTAATTATGCACCTGCTCTTTTTTTATTGAGTACAAGGAATATTCAGGCAGCTGAAATAAGACATCAGTTGAGATACACTTAACCTTCGAATCTACACTTAACCTTCGAATCCAATGGTGAGTTGCTCTTCCAGGCTACCGTGGATTCTTCTATACTTTTCTGTCCATATTTTCGGACACAAACATTTTAGATTATTAGGTTTAGGTTTTCTAGTTTCGGGGTTGCATGCCCACTCTTGACTATTATGAGTTTTAGTACTATGACTTTCAGAATTAGGGGTTAAATTCTGCAATTGTTAGGATGATTTGTTGAGTTCATGGGAACTTAATTTTTACTTGTTTTCAATGATTTCTTAGTGTTTTTATATTGTAACTTGTGTCTATTTATGGTTTGTTAGGTTAGAAAAATGGTTCTTCCACTGAAAGGTTAGTGTGGATGTCACTAAAAATAGGATAGAGTCCTGAAAAAGTTGGTATCAAAGCCCTAGGTTCGTTGATCTCGTCGTATCAAAATGTGTCTAGTAGAATCTTGTGAAATGGAACAAAGTCGCCTGTACTTTTCTTTAAGAGGCTGCAAGACTTTAGGAAATTTTATCTTCTTCCTTCCTTCATGATATAACTTTATTCCAATTGGTATTGGCAATCTAAATTGGTATCGAACATCTTTTACTCTTCTGTTCGTGAATAGTTGACATAAGGAGAAACGATGCAAGGAAGTTAGCTCCAATGGAAGAGCCATCATCTAAAATTGTAGCAAGGGGGGGCAACAGAGGCAAGGAAGAGACAAAGGTATCTAGGGTCAAGGGGAGACGAAGGGAAACCTTGATGGGGGTGGAGATCAAACATGAAATGCCCCAAGGCAGGAAACCCTTCCCCCACCCCGAGAACGTGTTGAAGAAGAAGTGGAGATTCAGATTGAGGATGATGTTCAACCGGAAGTAGAGGCACATGGTATGGGTACATTTCTCCGCCTTATGACTTTTGAAGTGGTTCAACAAGTTCTAGCTTTTCTGAGTGGGTTGGCATGTATGGGAGCCACTTCCACAGTGCAAACTACTCAAGTTCAAATCAATTTTTCTATCGCAACTATGGTCCCTAATATAGATAAAGCTTCAGGCTATGGTGTGTTCTTTCATCTATTATTGGGCACGGTGATGACTGGAATAGAGCATGAGATGTAGAATAAGTTCCTTAATAAGTTGAAGACTCCAGAGTTCCACTACTCTAAAAGTGAAGATGCCTTTGATTTCATCTTGGACTGGCATGACAAGTTTTATAAGTTGCGCATCGTACAACAACATGGGGTTGATTTCGTAACTTTTTAGCTTCAGGGAAAAGCAAAGAAGTGATGGAGAGCTATTGTGGAGTGTCGATCATCAGTCTTGCCTCCTTACACTTACACCTAGTTCTATTCTTTGCTCTTAGAAAAGTATGTACCTCGCACTCTGAAAGGCCAGAAGAAGGATGAGTTCATGGCCCTCGAATAGGGCAGCATGTCTATAGCTGCTTATGAGGCTAAGTTTCATGTCATATCTCACTATGCTACATAGCTTGTCAACACTGATGATGAGAGTATCCATTTTTTTCCCGAGAGTTTAAGTTATGAGTTGCAGGTATTGTTAGTGCACATGACCTCTGCAAGTAAAAGCTTCAATGAGGTGACCGACTTTGTGAAGAAAATGGAAGGAGTTAGGAAGGAAGGAAGGCTAAGTCATTATCTAAGAGGCCAAAGAATGCTTGCAATTATAGTGGTTCTTTGTAACACCTTGGAAATTGGAAAGGTCTCATGGGAAATGACTGAATTTTGGGTTTCTGAAGTTTGTTCTAACCATAGGAACAAACTAACAGTTATTTTAAAGGGCCGTTTGGTTTGAATATGAGTTATGATGGGATAAGTTATGATGGGATTAGTTATGATGGGATAATTGTTCTGGGATTATTACTTATTGAGTGTTTGATTTGTTGTATTCAAAATAATATATATTGATAAATTTTAAGAACACGTTGTTTATTTACAAAATTACCCTTCACTTTAGTTAAACTTTTTAATTTTTTCTTTGCGAGCTTTAGTTATTCATTTTTAAAATAGAGAAAAGACATAAAAGCACAACTGAAGTTGTTTCGAATTTTCAGAAAGACACCTTAACTTTGAGGATGTCCTATCACCCCACAAAAGTATTGAATATTTTTGTAAAAAGACCATTTTGACCCATTTTCTCATTATGTTTGTGAACACGCACATGATGCGCGTGAAGGTCCGTTTTTAATGCCAAAAACCAATTAAAAAACTGCCAACATTTAAGTTTATTTTCTTTATTAATTATTTACTCCATTCAAATTCATCATATTCCCCAACAAAAGAGTCATAGGTACTCTATGATGAACTGATGAAATCAACTCAATAAAGTAGGAATTCGTTTTAATTTCCAATATCAACATATACACAAGTATTACTATATTCATTTATTTTCAATTCTTACTTAAGGACATTTGGATACTTGCATTCTTAAAAGTGATAAACGTTCAGTAAATGTTTTATATGTGTATTCACCTACATATTCTCAAGTAATATTACAGTAGTTTGTGTGTATCAATAAATGTTAATAGTATCAACTTGATAGTTGGATATTTATCGATTGAGAAGTTTGTATCATGATTAATATTGAGATAATATTCAAGTTAATTTATAATTTAAGCAAGCAAATAAAGAAACAAATATTTCAAAAGGCAAATAAGTCATTTATTCGACAAAACAAAAATTAAGTAAAAGAACACTTCAATTGTGGGATGTATCAGTTCCTATGCATTCCGTGTTGCAGTTCGACATGAACGTCTGTTATGACCACGCTGTCCACATGTACTACAAGAATTGGTACCCTTCCTTTTGCTAAACTCGCTAAATGACTTCTCCCGTTGCTTCTTTGGCCTTCCTGGAGGTCGCTTGTATTTTGGTGGCAACACAACTTCGGTATCAATGTGTTCAGGTATATTCCATTCACTTTTGTCAGGGAGAGGATACACAGGCACTTCATATGTTCTCAATATTGTTTCTGGCTTGTAAAAGTCTGAACAATATTCATCTGGAAGCATGTGTTTTTTGTTCAACACCCTCCACGCATGTGCGCACGGTATTCCGTCAACTTGAAACCTGTTGCAACTACAAGTCTTCTTTTCCAAGCATACAATATAACTCTTCCCTTCATCACTTACTGAATAAATGTAATCAGTTGACGGGACAACCTAGAATCAATACGTAATTTCATTTATACACTCCATATGAAAGCCAGTACACTTTAAATACTTAATCATATGAAAGCAAATACACTTTAAAAACTTAAATAAATGAATACATAATCAACTGAATATGACAAATATTATTTTTCTCATAAATTATTAACCTTTCTTCAACATACATACCGTCATATGGCCAGATTTTGATTCATTAAGCACAAGCATTTCCTGAAACTTCTTCCCAAGTAGTGTGAAAGTGCATGATGCATTTTTCGATTTGTGCAATTCCATCTAGCAAACATCAAGCGCACTTGTTCAAGAAAGTCAAATATTGGTAATTCTCTTGCTGCTACCAACGTCGAATTGATGCACTCTGCAATATTCGACGTCATCACCCAACCACGAGGAACTGGTGCATACAACCTTGCCCACTTCTCATATCCAACCAACTCCAAGTAGTTCTTCACCCTTACATCAAACTGCTCAACTCTTTTCATTAGCTTATCAAAATCAGTTTTAGTATACACTTTTGCCATAGTGTAGAATACTTCACTCAATTGCTCATTTGCTTTTCGAAAATTCTTGCATACATTAGCCCACAAGTGCCATATGCAGACGTAATGCTGGATATTGTTGTATACAATAGATACAGCCTTTATTATGCTATTATGTCGGTCATATACCACACATATATTCTCTCTTTCACCATAAGCTTCTTTGAATTGTTCAAAGAACCATGTCCAAGCAACATAATTTTCTGAATCAATAACTCCATATGCCAAAGGTAATATATTCCCTATTATAATGTATAAAAAGGGTAAATAACAAATAAATAAAATTATAATGTATTTATGCATTTAAAATACCTGCTCCATCCAAAGTGCTGGATGATACGAATGCTCCAGTATATGCTGATTTGAGGTGGCTGGCGTCTACAACAACAATCGGCCTACAATGATCAAATCTCTTATAAAAGCATGCAACGCTATAAACACATACAAAAATTCGTTCTCAGGTGTTTTCTTCATTCTAATATGTGAACCAGGGTATGTATTATCCAAGGTATACAAGTATCCAGGTAGCTTCCCATAAGACGCAGCTGGTTGCCCCATTATCGATTCTAATGCCTTATCTTTTGCTCGCCATGCCAACATGTAGTTAATATCAATACCCAAGTCCAATCTAACGTCATCCCTGATATCATTTGGAGTGTATTTCCTCTTGTGATTTCTCAATTTAGGTGCGATTATTCCTCCAATCAATCCACTTGTTGCACGACAATCTGAATGCACCCCATCCTTTAAAGGACATGTATGTTCAGAGTTAAAAACTCTAATTCTGAACATCTCCGACTTGTTAATACTTGACGCTTTCATCAGCCATGTGCATTCTTTTGATTGACATACAAGAGTATAGCTGCGAATTCAATTTATATTGTTTTGTTAGTTCTGCTTTGCATCTGCAAACATAACTCAATACACTTAAAATGAAACAAATTTAACAACAATTTACCTTATAGAGTTTGACCTCTCCACCAAGAATTTAAACCTTTTTTCGATTGAATACTTTTCCATCACATCCTTCAATGTCGACTTATCCATGTATATCTGATCCATCATTATCTCCTTTTGCGATCTGTTCGTAATTATTAAATCATTTCCACCATCAAATGCATCTACTGGTTGATCGCCAAACGTTGGGACAATTGGTAATGTATCATTCGTACCAATTAATTCTTGATTGTATTCAAGTTGCAACACATCACCTTCAATAGAAGTTTCTCCAGAATCAGAATATACTATATCAATATCAAAAATACTTACACATAAGGGATATACTCCAAATTGAGTGTTGATCTTTTTCAACTGAACATATACGCGCACACCCATGTCGTTACGTATTTCCATAGGCGTGTCGTTACCTTCGACAGTGTATTTGATTTTCATACACTTTTTTGTAAGATCGA